CATTTGTAGGTTGTTGTATAATGTTTTCGGCACGTGTCCCCGCATGAGAAAAGTCTGCCTCCAGCTCTTGCGGCCTTGAGATCGCTGGTAACTCCCCGACTTCGGCTTCAGCCCCCTCAATAAGCCACTGCTGTTTTGGAACGTTGGGCGCTTCAAGTTCAGGCTTATTCGACCAACTTTCCTTAGCTTTACTCCGCAGTAGTGTCTCTTTCCTTGCTTTTCTCCTTTGCCGCAGTAGCAAAGCCCCAATTAAAGAAGCAATAATAACTACAACAATACCAATAGCAATCCCCGCTTTTGCTCCTGGTGATAATGCTTTGTTCTTTTTCTTTTCAGCCGGTGCAGTTTCAGGTGCCGATGTGCCACTTGCCAGACTTCCAGTCACAGATGCGCTCCCAGACACATTTGCAGCGCCATCAATGTGATTTCCACATTCATCCACCTCGCCAGCATTCACACTCTCTCCAATTGATTCTAGCTTCACTGCTTGTGCGACAATAGCAAGCTCTCCAGATTGACCTTCAGCAGGTGTCAAAATAATGCTCGGCTGAAACCCTTCGATTATGCCAGGAATTGAACCAGCATACACATTATCATATTTGTCTTCCTCATTTGTTTGGGAAATCAGCACCCCGGTAGCCCCACTGTACCCAGTACAAGACGGAGGGCGAATGTTCATTGTGACATTTACACGGCCACGTGTGGTGCAGGTATCATCTTGTACGCAGCCCGGCGTGTTCAATTTTATAGTGAAATTTCCGCGGTTATTGAAGCGCAGTGGGAAGACAGCTGAAGGTCTATCACTTTCATTGAGAGTCGAAGCATCTGAGATAGTTGCTAGTAGCAATGTTGTGTTCCTCCCTTCCCAGTTGTAAGGTATAGAAGACCAGTCACCGGAATCAATGATGGCGGTCGAAAAGAGTGTCAGCGCTGCGCTGGTGCGAAGAGCACGGCTTCTGTAATGTATGAGCACTGTTACAATGATTATTGGGAGAAATAAGCCCACAAAAAAAAACCTGGACCCGCGAAATCCTTCCACGACCACATTCTTAAGGTGAAGGGCTTGCTTGTATCTAGTCCTGTAACGTCGCGTGGCACGTCACGCTGGGTCTTCAATATTACTTTTTAGACCCAGTCAAAAGAATCTATGAACGGAAAATGAAATCGTTCAATAGGCGTATATATTGCCTGATATACGGGAATGATGTCTATGTTGAAGGTACCGACGATTGCAAGCTGTTTGACGTCTACTAGGCAGTGCAGTTTCAAGATTCGCACGAGAAATCTGGATTAGGACTTAGTATCGGGATTCGGAACATAAGATGTGTAGACTTTCCAAAAAACAATTAGTGAAATGCAGCTCAGCCCCTGGCCCCCAGCCCCCACTTTGTCCAAGTACCACGTAATTCGAGACTTTAGTCAACAGACATGTGAGTATGACTGACTAGCCAAAGACTCGTCAAATACGACATACTTCGCAATTGATAATCCGAAGATGATTCATTGTTTTAACTTGGATGTCCTAGAAGTCTCTAGAGGTCTCGCTGCAGTATGCAATATTAAATCTTATTGACCACCAGGAGTTTCGACGATAAGAGGTCTTCGAGTAGTATGTTGCAAAGAAATACAACTACTAAAATTCGTTTGGAAACATTCATGACCAAACTGATAATAAATGATGGACGTTATTCGAGTTGGCAGGTTTTCTAGATTGTGCTGAACAATCTTTTCAATATGGGAAAACGACAGTCCACAAGCAGGATTCGTTGTGGTCCTGCATTAGCGCATGTTGAAGTTACGCTCCGGCCAATAGAGTGAAAGCCATCTGACACGCTTAACCTGTTGCAACACACCGATAATCGAGTACCCATTATCAAGTGCTGCTCCTAACATCATCATCGCGTTTTCACCCACGCGATGAATCCTCGGAATACAATCACAACGGTCAGTACTAAGGCCCGCCACGGAGCCAGGGGCGCCCGGAAGGTAAAAACTGGGTGTGCAACGTGCAAGTACGTGCATAATACGCTCATCCCTTGCGGTGTTGCTTACGATGCCCAGGACAAGGCACAAAAAATGCGATGAAAAAAGGCCAGCATGTTCTCCATGCATGAGCGCTGGTTGGAGGTGCGACTTCCTCCAGCTGTTGCAACCCTCGGACTCGGATTCGCCTTCGCCTTCACCTTCGCCTACACCTTCTTCCCTGCAGCTTGATAATGCAGATACAGTACATTTCGACTATTTTCGGCTTGTCTGTGCGCCCGAGTTCTCACTTTTCTTCAATATACCTGCATGGAGCGATGTAGTCTTGCAAGCAGCATGTACAGAGCGATTATTTCGCCACATGGCCCTCGCGATCAGTGCCCTGAGTCGAAGTCGGTATCTCGGATGGACCCACCAGCAGTCTCCAGCCGATACGTATGCTTTATGGCAGTACAACTTGGCAATCAGAGAGCTAAGTCGCCTCGACAACTCGGCCCAAAGCGCGATACGCATCGTTTTGGCCAGCGTAATCTTCGTTACTCTCGAGTTTCTCCTGGAGAACTACGATAGGGTACAGATTCACTTGGACAGCGCAATTTCCATTCTGAATGGGGTTCGTTCACAATGCCAATCGGAGGCCAGGTTTCTTTCAGAGGCTATTTCCTGTATTTACGAAACGACTTTTTCATTGGCTGCATATCACTGATGGAGGATCCTTGTCAGATCCAATGCGTCGGGAGCAGTCGGGAGAACTTAGAGACCCCGCTTTCATTGGCTGGTGCGTAACTCACCTGCATCGCATACTCAGAAGCATAACAGTCTTACCAGCGCTAACATCCTCGTTCAAGTCACGACTATCTCTGATGCTAGGGTATATATAGCTTTGGAGTTTCTCACTATTTTCTTGCTGGACCCATCTTTTTACTGCTTGTTATCGAACAATCTAAATACTTCAGTTGCGATCATCATGTCCGCTATTACACCTTTCAGCATCGCCATTTCAGACAACAAAATAGAACTATTGAAGGAGAAACTTTCTTTAACAGCGATTCCTGACGAGCAAGCGAATGGAATAGACTCTTGGGCTCGCGGCGTGCCACTGGGAGACATAAAACGGCTGACTCACCACTGGGCCGAAGGCTACGATTGGCGGGCTGCAGAGGTCGAGCTAAACAAGCTCCCGCAATTCATTACAGAGATTGAAGTGGAAACTTTTGGCAAGTACGGAATCCACTTCGTTCATCAAAAAAGCAATGTCGAACACGCCATCCCACTTCTCTTCATCCATGGCTGGCCGGGCGGTTTCTTCGAGGTCTCTAAATTGTTGCCCTACCTGAAAGGTGACGATGAGCATCCCGCGTTCCACGTCGTCGCACCTAGTCTAGTCGATTTCGGCTTTTCATCAGCGAGCAAAAAGGTGTGTACCATCCCAGAATCCTGAGTGCTTTTCGACGGCTGAACCTAGCCATACAGGAAGGATTTACCATCGATCAACATGCTGAGGTATGCCACAAGCTCATGTTGTCTCTGGGATACAATGAATATGGTAAGGAAGCGACGCCTAGTATTCAATGTTCCACGTAACTGACCGCGCTCCAGTGGTTCAAGGTGGAGACGTCGGCAGCCTCACAGCGCGGTTCATCGCACTCAGATATAGCCGTACACACTGTAAGGCAATCCACACAAATAGCGCCTTACCAGCGGAGCCTACCGAGTCCGAGCATCCACAGCTTCATGCAAAACTTCGAGACACTTCCCTCAGCGCCGCCGAGCTCAAAGGTCTCACCCGCAGCGCTGAGTTCTGGGCAAACGGATTCGGTTACTACCAGCTCGCATCAACGAGGCCAATGACGGTCGGGTACGCTCTAGCGGATAGTCCTGTCGCGCTGCTGGCATGGATTTATGAGAAGCTACACGATTGGACAGACCCACAGCATAAGTGGACGGACGACGAGATATGTACGTGGGTAAGTATATACTGGTGAGTAAATCCACAGCACTTCGTTCGTAGGTTTGCGCTTATCATAATAAATGTAGGTTCTCAACCCCTGGCCCCGCCGCCTCTAGTCTTCCTTTTTACGAGTTCGAACATCGGAAGCCCAAGACCGCATTTGCTATATCTCAGGGATATATTGATGTCCCCCTGGGTATAGCTCGCTTCGCAAACGACTCAGTTCTCCTGCCCCGCCTCTGGAATCAGACCCTTGGGCCTGTCATATACGAAATCGAGTACGAAGTAGGAGGTCACTTTGCGGCCTGGGAGCGTCCAGATGCAATCGCGAACGATTTGAGAGTAATGTTCGGTAAAGGTGGAGCAGCTTATGCGTGTGTGACTGGGAAAAGTGGATATGAAGAATGATTTCCTTGTACTGATGCCTCATTAAAGTTCAGACGTCGCGGCATCAAGTTGGGATTCGGTCAATGTTAGCTGAAATGACATAGTCACGAACACTTCTTGATTGATTTCATCACCACGGCTATCAGATCAAGGTGATAGATTCTTCCTAGTATATAAGTGCTTCGCCCGTATAGATAGTCTGCTTCAACTCAACCTAGAGCGCATTTTACGATATAGAGTTCCGGCTCCTTCCACCCGATATTTAGGAGAGTAATCTCAAGATCAACATCGTTGAATGCCTATGCATTTTCGCTCCAATCGTATAACTGTAGCCCTTGATAACCTTGAAGAGACCAAATTCTGTAGAGGAGCTACACCAAAAAAAAAAGGCTCAAGACTTACTTGTATGTATGTATCCTTGTATGAACGCGGACTATCCTTTATCAATGTATGGTTTAGAGAATTAGGCACTGTAAAATCGTCTGACCCACTACCGTACTAGCTAACACAGCTACTACCACCCATCTTGTATATGACTCAAAAAGCAGACAATCAATATGATGTAGCGCTTGTGTTGCTATCATTAGCGCCACACCCTTTTCTACCCCCTTTCTTACATTTCATAGGCCCTAAGAGCTCTAAAGACAGCTCCGGGATCACGGCAAGTGTGCAAAAAGGAAGCCCGACGTGGGGGTCGAACCCACAACCTTGAGATTGAATAATCGCGTTGTTCAGAACGTGAGTAAGAGTCTCACGCTCTACCGATTGAGCTAGCCGGGCGTTTTCGATGATCGATGGAAAATGCTTGCTGTACAAATAATATATTTGTTTTAAAAATGTGTCGGAATAGTTAAGAAAGCAAAATCGATATATATTGAATGTAAATTTTCAATTGTGGGGTGGTACCAAAGACGAATGTAGCTTAGTACATCGATGACGTTTAACCGGCCTAACGGCGAACCAGTGGGGCAAAAATGTCTAAGAGATGGCTTCAAGAATTCAAACACGATCAGTAATGGTAGTCGGTTTTGATCTTGCACTTGGAAGTATATACTAGCTTCTAAGTGCCGGAAAAGGCTTTTAGCAGTGAGTGTCAATATTTTTACCATCCTATCTGTATTTTATTAGTTGTACACTAATCTTACGCGTGGAACAGCATCCATGTTTGCTATCTGAATACATTCGTACCCACTATGGCTTTATTAGATCATGCTACAAATATGTCTGCACATTCGTCACGGTGGAGTATTTGTCCATGGGCCCATCTTCATAATTGGACAGAAATAGCCCCACATAGTGATTGCCTACGGTCGCTCTTCTCCACCAGTGCGCTATCCGATACAGGAGTCACTCACTTCAGTTCTTTGACTGCAATCAACATCACAATCCGCGTCTCGTTCAAATTTAAAGGATTCACAAAGTATATACACACCATGGCATCGTACACATCGGATTACCCCGCGATCCCCTTTGACCCCGCATTCAAGAAATTCTTTGAAGACTTCTATGCGATTTCCGACAATCCCGACGCACACGACGCTTATGTGCAATCCTTCACTAAAGATGCAGCGCTCATAATGGCATCTAAAAAGGCGCAAGGCTCGGAAGGTATCATCCTGTTGTTCTTTGGTCTTCGTTCCTACCAATCTTTTGAATGTCTAGCTCACACGCTTACCAGAAATTCTCGCCCTTCGGAAAGGCCTCTGGGAGAAAGTTTCCAGTCGCGTGCATGCTCCTCTAAAGATATTTCCGTATGGGCCGAACTCCAATGAGGTGATGCTACATGGGACGGTTAAGTATGACCTGAAAGTTGGTGGAGAGTCAAGCGTAGACTGGGCGGCGCATGCGCGATTAGTCAAGGATGGCGAGCATGTCAAGATGGAGTTCTATCAGGTATACCTGGTGAGTGGTAAGAAAGAAAGCTTGTTAGATGGTGTACTGATAAGTATTAGGACACTGGTGCTCAGAACAAGTGAGGAGTAAGGATAGAGAAAAAGGCTAGCTTATAGGATGAAAAGCGTACTCTTATCACAAACGCCATCATTATAATGAGTCGTATCTGCAATGGTCATGGATGTAAATGTGCACCCGCATCAGCGTGATCACTACAATCCTCACAACTTAAGCAAACTTCGGGCACGGACTTCTAAACATGTTAGAACTACAATGTACGACTCCAAAATGAAAAAGACCCAAATTTCTGGAAAGATAAAAGGAATGATACTCGGCCGCTGAAGTTTTCTGGTAATCAACAGAAGAATAAATGGATTCTGAATGTCGTCTCACTTACACCGAAACTAACTTTTGGAATATAGAGTCGCATTACTGTTCAAGATTATGTCGCGACTACCTTGAATTGTTAAATCACATCAGGTGTAGAATGATAATATTTACTGAACCTCGCTGCCACTTTATCCTAATTGGTAGATGACGTCGTGTTGAACTACCTTTGCGGGGTCGAACCATACAAATATGCAAATTGCACATCACTCCAACATTTTCCTAATTCCCCTGTGCACCTCGAACTCCAATTTTCAATTTTTCTCCTGGTGTTCCCACCTTCAATTTAGGTCAGGCAACTCCTACAAACCTACCAAAATTAGCGCTGACCTCGCAGCGTCTCCGCAGGAACCTCGCGCCGGCTCGCCGATCGTGCCTGTTTTTGGTACAGTGGGGTGACACGAAAAAAGAGTAATACTTTTTTTAATCTTTTTTAAAAGACTATAACTCACTCATTATATAAGCTATAAATATAAAATTTAGTTCTATTTATAGAGAAAGTATAAAAGATTACTTATAGGGTCTAAATATTACTTAGTAAGTAAGGGAGAAAAGTACTAGTATAGTATTTATAGAGAATAAAAAGTAAAACTTTAAGGATCTATAACTTTTTATTAATGTATTAAAATTTTTATTTTGATATATACTATAGAGTACCTAGAGCTCTATTTATATATTAAATTTTATTATAGGTTATTTCACTAAATTATTATTTAAAAAGAAAATTAAAATTTTTAGTTTTTTAAAATTAAATAATAATAAATATATTATTAATATTTTATATACCATCCCTCAGCTTCTTTACAAGCCTCCCATCGCTTAGGTATAGATAATATACAATTATCTATACTTTTTGAGGAATTAAATCCCATTCTTCTTTTATAGCCTCTATAAATGCTTCTATAGCTTTAGGACTATTTCCTTCTCCTAGAGAGGCCCTAGGTCTTTTATTTAAACCATTTTTAAGTAAGCTCCATATATTTTCAATAGGAGCTAAATCAGGACTATAGGGTGGGTGAGGAAAAGCTTAATTTTATTCCTTTTAAACCAAGCTAAAATAGGTCTAGCTTTATGAATTCTAGAGTTATCTTGTTGAAAACTCCATCCTATATAGATATTAGTATATATAATAATATTATAAAATAAAAATATAAAATAATTAAATATATATATATAATTTTTAAAAAAATAGAAAAATTTTAATAAGTAACTTACCTCTTTTAATTTGAGGTTTAACTATAGGAATTAAGACTTTTCTCATATAGGCCTTATTCTCAAAGTTAGAAGGAATATTAGGACTTTTAGTAATCACTAATTTAGACCTTCCTCCTATCCAAATGGCTCCCCAAACTTGAATAGAAATATCTCGACCTATAAATAAATTAGTATTATAGATTTTTAAAAACTAAAATACTAGAAAAAAAAGTAGAGCTTTTTCTTAATATTATAGAAATTTAAAAATTTAAAAAACTTACTTCTATTAAAAGGATTAACTAAATCCTTTCCAGCCTTATTATATCCCTTTTTCTAGAATATTTATTTCTAGCTCCATGTCCTCTTTGTATAGCTGACTCATCTGAAAATATAACCTTATTAAGGTTTAATCTTTTAACTTTTAACATGTCCTTAACGTATTCTAGTCTTTTTAAGGCCCTTTTTTTATTTAAAAATGGTTTTTTCTTACTAACGTTTATATTATATCCTTCTTCTTTAATAATCCTTTGTAAAGTTCTCTTAGAAATCTTAAGACTATTTTCTATTAATAGTCTTTTATTAATCTTCTTAGGACTTCTAGTTAAGTCTCTATTAATAGCTCTTTTCTCTCTAGGAGTCGTCTTTGTAATCCTTCCATTACTAACTCTTTTAATAGGAGAATTTAATTCTTTTTTTAATACGTTGTATAGTATTATAAATACTCTTAGGACTTTTTTAAAGTAGTAGAAATAGTAGAAATAGGAGTTTTAGCTTCTAGAAAAGCTTAACCCTAGACTCAAAATCTGAAAATTCTTGAGCCATTTTAAGGATTTAGGGAAAAGGAATTTCAATCTGAGAAGATCTTCTTATATAGAAATTTAAGCTAAAATCTTACATAAGCAGGGCTTATATAAGCAGGTACCTAAATTTTAAAATTAAAAAAAAGAAAATTTAGAGAGAAGATGGTCCGAAAATCTATATAGAAATTAAGCGCTAAGCCTATTATGGTTAGTAAAAATTTTAGCTTTTTTAAACATTCAAAAAAGTTATAGAGCTCTAAAAAAGAGGTATTAAAAAGTATTTAGTTTAAGTTAAAAAAGATATATTACTATGCTAACTAAGCTTCTACCTTTAATATAAAAAGATTTTCTATAATTTTCTCTTTAATATAATATACTTTTTAATTTTATAGCTTATAAAATAAACGAGTTATAGCTTTTTAAAAAAGGTTAAAAAAAGTATTACTCTTTTTTCGTGTCACCCCACTGTATATAACAAAAAGAATGGCATTGATTATCCTACTGAGCATTTCAATCTTTTTGAAATCGTCTTTTGCCCAATTTCCATCCACATGTCCCGCACCATTGCCTCAAAATGCCACCATAGGCATTTGTCCAACAGACTTTACAATTATCGGTCCCCAACTGGAACCTGTGCACGAATCTACCTCCCCACCGACTGGTCTAGCCATAGACCCAAACCTGGTTCTCTATCTCACGTACCCGCGCAACTCCGGCCCAACACCAAACAACGTTGTTAAATGCACATCGTTCACCACCGAGGAGCCCTGGCCTTCGGCTGACATCCAAAACTGCACCGTAGGACAAAACGCGAGCTCCTGTTTCATTAACATTCAAAATGTGGTGCTTGACAGTCTCAACCAGCTCTGGGTAGTGGATTCGGGCATTCCACCCGGTGCAAAGTCAGCAGTTCAATTCGGCGCAAAGATCATGTCTTTCTCCGTTGAAGGCGAGCTCCTACGCACATATGTTATTCCAGAGGAGCTCTATCATGACAAAATGAATGCGAATGATGTCCGCATCAACAACACGCTTGGTGACGGTGGCTATGCATTCATCACCGATGAATCGGACGCCGGCTCTATTCTCTCCGTCAATCTCGCTACCGGCGCTGCAAACCGTAGACTCTTCAACACAACTTACACCCGCGCCGATGAGGGCTACGTCGGCGTGTACAATGGCCGACCTATCTACAACTGGAACGGCACCCGCAAATCTTTCATCACTACGGGATCGGACGGCATTGCACTGGCGTCAGGGAATGTCTATTGGGGTGTGCTCGCGTCGCGCCGCTTCTATTACGTTTCTCAAGCTGCATTCGTCGACAGGTCGATCTCGGACGAGGAATTGCTAGAATACGTGCAAGACCCTGGACAGTGCGGCACTGAGCAAGCAGGCCTAACAGCTGACGATAAAGGGCGTGTGTACATAATGGCTAGCGAGCACAACGCTATCTTCTACGTCGACACGCTTCAGTCAGCTGTCAATTATACGGTGAAGTGGACC